ATTCTGTCTTAAAATACAACCCTGGCATTGACGAAAGCAACAATTGCAACAACTGGGAAAAGCTGCTGAATTTAATGGCACCAGTGGGTTCTTGGAAAGTGGGGAGGGGGCGAGGGTGGCACGTTGCAACCCCCCCCACTCTGCCCCCTCCTTGCAGCTCTGCGGGAAGGTGCCGGGCATGGAGGGGGACGGCAGCCTGGACCCCCCGACCCACCCCGAGGAGGGGGGCAACAGCCTGGGCAGCAACAAGGTGAGGGGCAGCCGCGCCAGAGCCCGGGTGGGGTGGGCTGCGTGGTGATGGGGAGGGGGGCAACCATGTGTAACCCCGTGTCGTGTGTCCCCCCGCCCCCACACACACAGGTGGAGGTGGTCTTCTGGCTCCTGTCCATGCTGGCCACGCGGGACAAGGACGACATGTCGCGCACGCTGCTGGCCATGTCCAGCTCGCAGGAGAGCTGCCTGGCCATGCGCAAGTCGGGCTGCCTGCCCCTGCTCATCCAGATCCTCCACGACTCGGACGGGGAGCCGGGCCCCCCCGAGAGCCCCACCGGCGCCAAGGACGCCCGCATGCGTGCCAACGCCGCCCTCCACAACATCGTCTTCTCCCAGCCCGACGAGGGCCAGGCCAAGAAGGAGATGCGGGTGCTGCACGTGCTGGAGCAGATCCGCTCCTACTCGGAGACCTGCTGGGACTGGCTGCAGATGCAGAGCAGGGACGGGGGCAGAGGCCCCGAGGGCAGCGCGGGTACGAGGTTGTGGGGTGCCATTGTGTGTGCACACACATGTGTGGTGGTGCACTGGGGCTGGGGGCATCCGTGTGTGCCGGAGGTGGTGGGCAATGGGGGTGGCTGTTGGTGCCAGACCCCATGGCTGACCCACCACCCCTCTCTCCACCTTCTCCCCACAGCCCCGGTGCCCATCGAGCCCCAGATCTGCCAGGCCACCTGCGCCATCATGAAGCTCTCCTTCGACGAGGAGTATCGTCGGGCCATGAACGAGCTGGGTGAGCGAGGGGGGGGCACGGGGAGGGGGCTCCCTCCATCCCTGCCCACCCTCCTCCCTGGGGCAACGGCAGCAGCACTGGGGAAGGAGGGACTGGGGGGCTCCTTTACTCATGTCACCCCCCATCCCGTCCCGCAGGAGGGCTGCAGGCGGTGGCCGAGCTGCTCCAGGTGGACTATGAGATGCACAAGATGACGAACGACCCCCTGAACCTGGCCCTGCGGCGCTACGCGGGGATGGCCCTCACCAACCTCACCTTCGGCGACGTGGTCAACAAGGTCAGGGTGGTGGGGGGGCTGCAGGGTGGGGAGAGGGGACGAGGAGGGTGGCCATGGCATTGCCTTCACCATCCTCATCCTCCCCACAGGCGACGCTGTGCTCCCGCCGGGGCTGCATGGAGGCCATGGTGGCTCAGCTGGGCTCCGACAGCGAGGAGCTCCACCAGGTGGGTACCACCGGAGCGTGGGGGGCTCCCCAGGGGAGGTAGGGGGGGGACACGACGGTTCCCACGCCCACCCACCCCGCTCTGCCCTCCCAGGTGGTCTCCAGCATCCTGAGGAACCTCTCCTGGAGGGCTGACATCAACAGCAAGAAGGTGCTGCGGGAGGTGGGCAGCGTGACGGGGCTGATGCGGTGCGCGCTGCACGCCGGCAAGGTGAGCACCGGGGCGGGTGGGAACGGGCACTGGGGGTGTCCAGGTGGGCTGGGGGGTAACGGGGGTCTGTGCGTGTCCCCGGGACAGGAATCCACGCTGAAGAGCGTCCTGAGCGCGCTGTGGAACCTGTCGGCGCACAGCACGGAGAACAAAGCGGCCATCTGCGGGGTGGAGGGAGCCCTGGGCTTCCTGGTGAGCACCCTCACCTACAAGTGCCAGAGCAACTCGCTGGCCATCATCGAGAGCGGCGGCGGCATCCTCAGGAACGTCTCCAGCCTGGTCGCCACGCGGGAGGACTACAGGTGAGGTGGTCCTGGGGTGGGCTCGGTGCTGGGGAAGGGGGTCAGGGACCATTTTTTAGTCTGGAGAATAGAAGGCTGAGGGGGGATCTGATCAACGCCTATAAGTACATCAAGGGGGGTTGTCGGGAGGATGGGGCCAGGCTTTTTTCAGTGGTGCCCAGGGACAGGACAAGAGGGAATGGGCACAAACTTGAACAGAAGAAGTTTCACCTCAACATGAGGAGGAACTTCTTCACTGTGAGGGTGGCAGAGCCCTGGCAGAGGCTGCCCAGGGAGGTGGTGGAGTCTCCTTCTCTGGAGACATTCAAACCCACCTGGACAAGTTCCTGTGGGACCTGCTCTGGGTGGACCTGCTCTGGCAGGGGGTTGGAGGAGATGATCTCCAGAGGTCCCTTTCAACCCCATATCATTGTGTGACCATGCTGAGGGCTGGGTGTCCCCCCTGTCCTACAGGCAAGTGCTCCGGGACCACAACTGCCTGCAGACGCTGCTGCAGCACCTGCGCTCGCACAGCCTCACCATCGTCAGCAACGCCTGCGGCACCCTCTGGAACCTCTCCGCCCGCAGCCCCCGCGACCAGGAGCTGCTGTGGGACCTGGGGGCGGTCAGCATGCTGCGCAACCTCATCCACTCCAAGCACAAGATGATCGCCATGGGCAGCGCGGCCGCCCTCCGCAACCTCCTCACCAACCGGCCCCCCAAGTACAAGGACACGGCCGTGGTCTCGCCGGGCTCCTGCATGCCCTCCCTCTACATGCGCAAGCAGAAGGCGCTGGAGGCCGAGCTGGACGCCAAGCACTTGGCCGAGACCTTCGACACCATGGAGAAGCAGAGCCTGAAGAGCCAGAGCGCCAAGAAGCCGACGCGGCACATGGAGAGCCTGGTGAAGGACTACGCCTCCGACTCCGGCTGCTTCGACGATGACGAGGTGCCCAACATTTCCACCGGCGTGGAGACGGCCAGCGCCTCCGTCCTCTCCATGTTCCTCAACTCCTCCTTCCTCCAGGGACAGGCGCTGCCCCGGGCGCTGGCACAGCGGCGATGCCCGGAGCCGGAGAAGGACGGCAGCGGCAAACCGGCCGAGCCCAAGAAGCCCCCGCTGCCGGAGGATGACGTCTCACTGGCTGCCGAGAAGTTGGCCAACAAGATCTCCAGCACGGTGGCCAAGATCGACAAGCTGGTGGAGGACATCTCCACCATGCACACCTCTTCAGATGACAGCTTCAGCCTCAGCTCGGAGGACCACTGCCTGGACTGGCAGTACGGCCCCGAGGAGGTCCACGAGGCTCGTGCCCAGTCCTGCTCGCCCTGTCGCCTCTCGGATGCCGGTGGCTTCCCCAAGAGGGAGAGCCTGAGCCGGGCCCACACGCTGCTGAGGCTGAAGACCGCCTACACCAGCCTGTCCAACGACAGCCTCAACAGCGGCAGCACCAGCGACGGCTACTGCACCAAGGAGCACATGAAGCCCTGCACCAGGGCCACCTTCCTCGACTACCGGGACGAGCTGCAGCGGTACCAGAAGCGGCCGAGCCGGCTCGACCTCAAGAACATCCTGGGGGTCAAACCAGAGCGGGTCGAGCACCCCCTGCTCAAGGGCAGAGATCCAGCTGAGCCAGACAAGCCGGAGCAACGAGATCTGCCCGAACGGGCCAAGAAGACGGTGACTTTCCCCAGCCCCAAGGCGCTGGAGAAGGAGACCGAGTGGAAGAAGGAGACGGGCAGCAAGGTCTCTCCTGACCCCCAGGTCCGCACCATCAAGCTCTCCCCGTCCTACCAGCATGTCCCCCTGCTCGAAAGCCTGGCCAAGAGCAGCGCGGCCACCGGCACCGGCCACCACCCCTCGCTTCTGGGCAGAAAACAAGCCTGGCTGCCCCCCACGCTGCTGCAGACAGCTGAGACCCTCAGCAAGATCCCGGAGAAGTTGCCTGCCCACCCCCCGGCCACGGCCGAGCAGGAGTCGGTGCAGAAGTACTCGGTGGAGGACACCCCCATCTGCTTCTCCCGGTGCAGCTCCCTCTCCTCCCTCTCCTCCGCCGACAATGTGCTGGACGGGCAGAGCCACAGCGAGAACGACCTGGACAGTGACTCCTCCCTGGAGATCCTGGAGATGGAGGAAGGGGACGGGGAAGGTGAGGAGGGGAGTCAGGAGAAGGAGAAGGCGGCGGATCCGGGTCTGGCCACCCCGGTGGGGATCTCCCAGCCCATCACCATCCCCTTCCCGAAGCGCGACAAGGTCTTCCTGCGGGAGACATCACCATCGCGCCAGGAGGACCTCACGCCCTCGAGCTCCTCGGAGAACTACATCCAGGAGACGCCCCTGGTGATGAGCCGCTGCAGCTCCGTCAGCTCCCTGGGCAGCTTCGAGAGCCCCTCCATCGCCAGCTCCATCCAGAGCGACCCGTGCAGCGAGATGATCAGCGGCACCATCAGTCCCAGCGAGTTGCCCGACAGCCCCGGGCAGACCATGCCCCCCAGCCGCAGCAAGACACCCCTCTTCGAGCTGGGCTGCCAACCGGAGAAGGAGACCAGCCAGTTCAACATCCAGTGGGAGAACAACGTCAAGAAGTTCATGGAGATCACCGACTTCAAGGAGCGCTTCCAGCTGCCCCAGGACCTGGACTCCATGGTCTACTTCACGGTGGAGAAACCCAACGAGAACTTCTCCTGCGCCTCCAGCCTGAGCGCCCTGCCCCTCCACGAGCACTACGTCCAGAAGGACGTGGAGCTCAAGCTGATGCCCACCTTCCCAGAGAAGAACAGCCTGAACTTCGTGGCTCATGAGAAGCGGGAGGAGCGGCGGGAGGAGCGGCACCTGGAGGGCCGGCGACGGGCCGAGCGCCCTGAGCCCCCCTCCGACGATGACATCGAGATCCTGAAGGAGTGCATCAGCTCGGCCATGCCCTCCCGCTTCCGCAAGGTGAAGACCTCCCTCCTCTCCGGCCAGGTCCTGCACCCCCAGACAAAGAAGCCGGTCCACGTCCCCGTCTACATGCTGGTGCCAGCCCACGCGCACCCCGGCGTCCCCAAGCACCTGCGTGCCACCACCCGCGACCTCTTCAAGGACGATGACTCCTTCACCGACTCGGCCGACGGGACCCCCGTCAACTTCTCCAGCGCCGCCTCCCTGAGCGACGAGACCCTGCGCTACCCGGCGGGCGAGGAGGCTGAGCACCCCCGCGGCCCGGGGCGGTCACGGGGGGTCCTGCCTGATGGCCACCGCGAGGTGGGCAACGCCGGCACCATCCCGGCCAGGAGAGCCGCCTCCGGCAGCTCGGCGCCCGCCCGGTTGAGCTCAGCCTGCAAAGGGAAACCCGGCTCGAGCCGCGGCCAAGGCGGGGAGGGAAAGAGGGGCCAGATCCCCCCGAAGAGTGGCCCCAGCCTGGAGCTGGAGGTGGGGAGGAGCAGCGGTCCCCCCGGGAGGAAGGATGCCCCCCAGGAGGACGGGGTGGCCTTCCAGTCGCTGTGCCACACCACGCCGACCGAGGAAGCCGTTTATTGCTTCTACGAGCAGGACTCGGATGAGCTGCCCGAGGCGGGCAGGGGGGTGTCCGGCGGGAGACCCCAACCCGGCCGGGCACCCAGGAGGGAGCGCTGGGGCGGCTCCCTCCCCCGGAGCGATCCTGAGCCCGGTCCCCGAGCGGCAAAACCACAGAACAACCTCATCACCGACGAGACGCCGCCGTGTTACTCCCTCAGCTCCTCCATGAGCTCCCTGAGCGACGCCAACCTCTCCGACGGCGAGGAGCGGGGCCAGCCCTGCGGCAAAGCCCCCCGCCCGCAGTCTGCCACGGCGGCGCTGGGGCAGGCACAGGGGGGCTCCCCCAGCTCCCCCAGCCTCAACTCGGAGGACGACCTGCTGCAGAAGTGCATCGGCTCGGCCATGCCCAAGCGCCGGCGGCCCTCGGCTCGCCGGAGGACGGCGGAGCGCAAGCAGAAGCCACCGGCCACCGTGGGGAGGGAGCAGAAGGCGGAGGTGAGACATCACCCTGCCGAGGACGCCGGCTCCGACCGGGGCTCTGACCTGGACAGCGTGGAGTGGCAAGCCATCCAGGAGGGTGCCAACTCCATCGTCACCTGGCTGCACCAGGCGGCCGCCTCCCTCTCCCGGGAGCCTTCCTCCGAGTCCGACTCCATCCTCTCCTTCGTATCGGGGCTCTCGGTGGGGTCCACCCTCCAGCTCTCCCTGGGCAGGCAGGAGAAGAAGCAGCGGGCCGGCAGCGTGGCGGGCAGGGATGCGGCCAGAAGGGAGCACAGCAAGGGACGCCCCGAGAGGAAGGACACCCCGGGTGCCCGTCCCGCCGGCCGCGGAAATGCCAGGGCGGAGCGGAGCCCGGCGCCCACCAAACCGGTGCCCAACCTGCCCGTGGTCTTCCGCGGCCGGACTGTCATCTACATGCCCAGCATGGCCAAGGATGCCCCCAGCCCGCGGGCCACCCCCAAGAAGAGCCCGGTGACGAAGCCAGAGGCTCCACCAGCCAAGAACCTCTCCCTCAGCCAGCAGCGCTCGCGGAGCCTCCACCGCTTGGGCAAAGCCCCCGAAACTGGGGACATGACGCTGCCCAAGAGGAGCACGACGCCGCCCGCCCGCATCGGCAAGGGACCCCCCTCCTCGGGCTCCTCCCGCACCTCCACCCCCTCCCAGCACGCACCCAAGAAGCTGCTGTCCCCCTCCCAGCTCAACAAGCAGGGTCCCCCGGCCACCGGCAAGGCGGGTGGCTCCCCCTCCCCACCGGGACCCCCAACCAGAGCCCCGGCCCCCAAATCTCCAGCCCCCAGGCAATCCAAGACGCAGAAGTCGCCTGTCCGCATCCCCTTCATGCAGAAGCCCAGCAGGAAGGTGCTGCCGGGCCGGGGGGCCATGCCGGTGCTGGAGGAGCAAGTGGATGGTGTCAAGGCTCGGGGCGGCGGGGGTGGGGGAGAAGTCGCCTGTCCGCATCCCCTTCATGCAGAAGCCCAGCAGGAAGGTGCTGCCGGGCCGGGGGGCCATGCCGGTGCTGGAGGAGCAAGTGGATGGTGTCAAGGCTCGGGGTGGCAGGGTTGGGGGCGCGGGGGGCAGCCGGCTCAACCTGGTGCGGATGTCCTCCACCCGTTCCAGCGGGAGCGACTCGGATCGCTCCGGCTTCCTGCGCCAGCTCACCTTCATCAAGGAATCCTCCAGCCTGCTGCTGCGGCACCGCGCCGAGCTCTCCCCGGCCCCGCCGCCGGCCGCCTCGCTGCCTCGCCGTGCCTCCCCGCAGCGCAGCCGTGCCACCCTCCCCGCCGTCTTCCTCTGTTCCTCCCGCTGCGACGAGCTCAAGGCGGCCAAGCCGGCCACCCCCAACCCACGGCCCCTCATCTCCAGGGCCCAGCCCGGTGGCAAAGTCTCCACCGGGGTCAAACCGCCGCGGAGGACCAGCTCGGAGAGTCCATCCCGGCTGCCGGTGAAGACCAGCATCCCTGCACCCGAGCCCTTCAAGAGGTACTCGTCCTCCCCCAACATCAGTGTGGGGAAGAGGACGGGCAGCCCTTCCTCCGTCCTCTCCGCCCGCTCCGAGGCTTCGGCGCGGCGGCGGCAGCAGCAGCAGCAGCAGACGACGGAGACGGCACCCAGCGGGCAGCCGGCGAAGCCTCCGGTGGTGATGATGAAGGGCACGTGGCGGAGGATCCGGGACGAAGACATCCCCCACATCCTCAAGAGCACCCTGCCCTCCTCCGCCCTGCCGCTGGCGGGTGACGGCGAGGAGGAGCGCCCCGGCACCCCCGGCCCCAGGAAGACCAGCGACGCCGTGGTGCAGACCGAGGACTTCTCCACCGCCAAGACCAACTCCAGCACCTCCCCCACCCTGGAGACCCGCGAGGGACCCCCTAACGCCCGCGCCGCCTGCGACGGTGAAGCCCCGGCCCCCGCCAAGACCACCCTGCCCATCTCCTTCGGCCACGAGGCGCCGGCCGGGACCTTCCCCGCCAGCCGTCACGGCTCCCCGAGCAGAGCCGCCCGCGTCACCCCCTTCAACTACGTCCCCAGCCCCATGGCGGTGACAGCGGTGGCCGACAAGGCGGTGGAGAAAATCCAGGCTTGAGCAGCTGCCCACCCATGGAGCCCCAGCCAGGGTCCTGGGACCCCCTCCCCTGCCCCACGGGAGATGGCCAGGACTGTGCTGGGGGGGACAGTGACATGGGACAGTGACATGGGACAGCTGGGGACCAGCGAGTCACCCCAACGCGCTGCCTGCCCCAGCTGGGGTCCTGCTGTACCAGAGCATCACGGTTCCCAGCGCCAAGGAACAGGCAGAGCCAGGGGGACGCACTGGGGCTGGTGTCCCAACCCAGGGTGAGCCTCGGTGGCCACCTCCTCCCACCGATGGACATCCTGGGACAAGCTGGGGGGGATGCCGTGTCCCCATGTCCCCCCCATCCCGCTCACGCGCCCGGGGCAGAGGCTGATCCAGACGCCGGGTCTCACCGCACACGTCAGCTCATCTCGGCACCGACACCGGCTCGTTTATTAACGAGGGGAAGGGAACACACAGCTGGACCAAGGCAGGGAGAGACTTCATAGGGGGAAACCTCCCCCCCATTTGTGCTGCTGGAGGCTCCTAATTAAGGCGTGCGGCTAATCACTAACGGGTAACTCGCAGCCGTGGTGCTTGCACGGGTTCAAGGTGGGTTTGGGTGGAAAAGGCGTGGAAGGGGCTCGCTGGTGGGTGGCTGGGTCCCAACGGGCTCGTCCTGGGGGGCTGCTCACAGGGTCGTGTCACGGGGCTGGGGAGCTGCCCTGGGAGGGGATGGGGTGCTGAGCTGGCACTGGGGTGCCCAACCCCTGGGGAAGGGTCTGGGGCCCCTAATTCCCACCCGCAGCCCCCCAGCCTCCCTCCCCCGGGGTGGAAGACCCCCCTCCCGGCTCGCAGCCAGGACCTCGGTGTGTCCCCACGGGCCGTGGACACGAGTCCATCCAGGAGGGGATTACGCCCACGAGCACGGGGGCTCCTGACCCCAAAGCACCGCGGACACCCCGCTCCTGCTGCCAGCTAGGCCCCCACATAGAGACTGGGGTGTGCGGGGAGGGGCTGCAGAGGGACCCCCCCCCAATCCAGGTGCTCCCCGGTTTCCCCTGGGTGCTCCCCAGCCCCATGGGCGTCTCCTGGTGCACCCGCCCTATGGGGACACCCCGCTCCTGCTGCCAGCTAGGCCCCCACATAGAGACTGGGGTGTGCGGGGAGGGGCTGCAGAGGGACCCCCCCCCAATCCAGGTGCTCCCCGGTTTCCCCTGGGTGCTCCCCAGCCCCATGGGTGTCTCCTGGTCCTCCCACCCTATGGCTCATTGCCTGCTTTGGATGGGGTGACCTGTGAGCCCCCCATGGGGGGGACAGGATGGGCTATGGGGACACATGCAGGGGACACAGGGGTACACCCAGGGGGCTGTGGGGACATAGCGAGGGGCTCTGGGGAGTCACAATGGGGCTGTGGGGACACGCAGTGGGGCCGTGGGGGTACAGATGGAGTCCAGGGAGACACCAGGGCTGTGGGGACACTCGGGGGGACGTGCCCACTGGGGACCTCGGCTCCGGCAGCGGCTGGGGGGGCTGCAGCCAGCGGGACCTGGGACGAGGGATGATGGAAAAGGGGGCAAAGTCCCCGGGGGCAACGCGTGTCCCCGCTCCCGAGTGTCGCAACCCAGCGTAGGACGTGCCAGGAGGACCAGCATCTCCCCACAGGCTCGGCCCCGGGTTCAAGCCCCACCAGCCAGCCCCTCTCTCGCCCGTCTCTGCCCCACACGCACCCACCGGCTTCAGCCCCCGGGTCCCGCCGAGCCCCGCTCCCCCCATCGCTGTATGTATGTACTAAGGATGTTATTTTACCGAGACTCTGGACAGTATTAAGAATTAAAAGCCAACCTGTGTAAATAGGAGGGGGTGGTCTCTCTGTCCCGCCCCCCCGGGCCGGGGGGAGCCGCAGCCCCCCCGCAGCGTTTTCTGGATCCATTTCTTGTGTTTCACGGCCGAGGTGGCCACCGGAGGCTTGAGCGGGTCGGTGGGGTTCTGGCCACTGAAGGAGAGGACGCCGGCCAGCGCCGCCCGCTTCCCGCACACCAAAGGGCCCCCGGAGTCACCCTGGGTGGGGGGTGACAGTGGGGAACGGGGTCCAGGGACCCCCCGCCATGGCTGAGGGGGGCATCTCACCTCTCTGCTCGGGGTGAGCATCCTCCCCGCTGCCCCCCGTGCCCAGGAATGGTCGCTCACGGGGGGCAGAGCTTTCTGTCCGGCTGCTCCCGGTCCAAATCCCTTGGATTTCTCCCCCCTCCCTCCCAAAACTCCTCACCTTGGAGGGTGCCGACCCCCCCCGGCGTCCCTGGAAGCAGATCATGGTGGGGGCGATCTCCCCGTTCCAGAAGCGGCTGTTGTTGCACATCCGTGGGTCCAGCACCTCCACCTCCAGCTCCTGCAGCCTCGGGGAGACCTTCCTGTCCCTGAGGACCCCCCACCCCGCCAGGCTGCAGGTGGCCCCCACCGCCGGCTCCCGCCCCATCAGCTTGATGGTCCGCCGTGTCCTGCTCTGCTTCACCGTCCCCTCCAGCTGCAGGTGGGGAGGGGGGAGACAGCGTCAGACCCCCCCACAGCCCCGAGGGAGGGGCAGGAAGAGAGCACCCCCCCATGGCAGGGGGTGGGTGGGGAGAGGGGGCAGAGCTGAGCGGCGGGGAGATGTCACCGAGGTGTGAAAGGGGAGATGTCACCAAGGTGTGAAAGCGCTCGGAGGCGAGAAGAGGAAATGTCACCCAGCCCCTGGCTCGGAGCACGGCTGCACCGGCGCGGTGTGAACCCCCCCATCAACACCCCCCCCCCCCACACCTCCTTCCTGGCACCACCAACGCTCCTCCAGCCCCACAGACCAGCCCTTCCCTTCCCCACATCCAGCCCAAGCCCCACCTGGAGCAGGAGAAGGTCATTTTCCAGCGTCTGCTCGTTGTACCCAGGGTGGGGACAGGCTGCCCGGATGGAGAACCTCTGCGTGTGTCCCCCGTGATCCTGCAGGCTGTGCAGCCCCACCACCGCTGTCACCGTGTCCCTCTTCCTGCCCCACAGCAGGAGCTGGTGTCAGTGGGAGCGTGGTGATGGCCACCAGGGGGCATCTCACCTCTCTGCTCGGGGTGAGCATCCTCCCCGCTGCCCCCCGTGCCCAGGAATGGTCGCTCACGGGGGGCAGAGCTTTCTGTCCGGCTGCTCCCGGTCCAAATCCCTTGGATTTCTCCCCCCTCCCTCCCAAAACTCCTCACCTTGGAGGGTGCCGACCCCCCCCGGCGTCCCTGGAAGCAGATCATGGTGGGGGCGATCTCCCCGTTCCAGAAGCGGCTGTTGTTGCACATCCGTGGGTCCAGCACCTCCACCTCCAGCTCCTGCAGCCTCGGGGAGACCTTCCTGTCCCTGAGGACCCCCCACCCCGCCAGGCTGCAGGTGGCCCCCACCGCCGGCTCCCGCCCCATCAGCTTGATGGTCCGCCGTGTCCTGCTCTGCTTCACCGTCCCCTCCAGCTGCAGGTGGGGAGGGGGGAGACAGCGTCAGACCCCCCCACAGCCCCGAGGGAGGGGCAGGAAGGGAGCACCCCCCCATGGCAGGGGGTGGGTGGGGAGAGGGGGCAGAGCTGAGCGGCGGGGAGATGTCACCGAGGTGTGAAAGGGGAGATGTCACCAAGGTGTGAAAGCGCTCGGAGGCGAGAAGAGGAAATGTCACCCAGCCCCTGGCTCGGAGCACGGCTGCACCGGCGCGGTGTGAACCCCCCCATCAACACCCCCCCCCCCCACACCTCCTTCCTGGCACCACCAACGCTCCTCCAGCCCCACAGACCAGCCCTTCCCTTCCCCACATCCAGCCCAAGCCCCACCTGGAGCAGGAGAAGGTCATTTTCCAGCGTCTGCTGGTCGTACCCAGGGTGGGGACAGGCTGCCCGGATGGAGAACCTCTGCGTGTGTCCCCCGTGATCCTGCAGGCTGTGCAGCCCCACCACCGCTGTCACCGTGTCCCTCTTCCTGCCCCACAGCAGGAGCTGGTGTCAGTGGGAGCGTGGTGATGGCCACCAGGAACCCCACCGAGCCCCCCAGTCCCCACACTGGGCAGGATGGGGCCGCTCTGGACTCACCCCTGAGGGACGCAGTGGGCGGCCGTCAGCACCCAGCGCTTGTGCAGCAGGGCCCCCCCGCAGAACCCATTCCCCTTCAGCTGGATGGACACCATGTAGGGCCTGGAGTGGGGTTTGGCCTCGTGCCCCCCGATAATCGATGGCTGGAGCCAGCTCCTCGCTGCCAGGGAGAGGAGAGACCGTCCCCGTCCCGCGAGAGAGGTCACTGGGGGGTCCCCAGCCACCCCCCTCCTGTCCCCCCAGTGCATCCAGCCACCCCATCCCTACAACCCGGCTGCCACCCCCCCCCCCCCCCCGCACTGGCCACCCTGACGCTCACCCGGCCCAGCCAAAGGCAGGGTCAGCAGCAGCAGCAGCCCCAGGCGGCCCCTCGTCCCCATCCCTCGCCGGGTGGCAGCCCCCTCCGTGTCCCTCTGCGGCGGTGACACGGCGCTGCCTGCGCCCCACGCCGAGCCCGTGCAGCGGCAGAGATCCCACCTGACGTGTGACAGCGGTGCTGGGGCACAGACCCTCGCTGCGGGGAGGGGGGCAGGAAGGGGAAGAAGCACCCGCGGGGCAGAACAAACACCCTGGGGGGCTGTAAAGGGGGTGTAAAACCACCCACAGCGACAGCACGGCTCCCGGGGGTTTGACTTCGCCCTCACCTCCCGCTCGGCAAGTGACACAAAGTGGCATCTTCAGTTCTTCCCAGAAGAAGGGGTTTTTAATGAGATTTGTGATGATCCCCAGCACCGGGGTGACCCGTTCCCATCACCTTTATTAGCAGGACGGGACAACTCCGCGCCGGCCACCACGGCTGGGGGGCCACTGGCCCCCAAACAGGTGGAAAACCGGCCCATGGCCCCCAAAACAGACGGCAAAACCGGCCTTCAACCCCCAAAAGCAGCAGCAAAACCAGCCCCCGACTCCCAAAAGAGGCAGCAGAACCAGCCCCCGGCCCCCAAAGAAGCTGAAAAAGCAGCCCCCGGCTCCCAAAGAAGCCGAAAAACCAGCCCCCAGTCCCCAGACAGGCCAAAAAAACAGTCCCTGGCCCCCCAGGGTCCCTCCAGGTGGAAAACCGGCCCATGGCCCCCAAAACAGACGGCAAAACCGGCCTTCAACCCCCAAAAGCAGCAGCAAAACCAGCCCCCGACTCCCAAAAGAGGCAGCAGAACCAGCCCCCGGCCCCCAAAGAAGCTGAAAAAGCAGCCCCCGGCTCCCAAAGAAGCCGAAAAACCAGCCCCCAGTCCCCAGACAGGCCAAGAAAGAGACAGCAAAACCAGCCCCTGGCCCTCAAAAAAAGGTGGCAAAACCAGCCCCCGGCCCCCAAAGAAGCTGAAAAACCATCCACCAGTCCCCAAACAGGCCAAAAAACCAGCCCCTGGCCCCCAATCCCTCAGCTCTTGTCTTTGGGGGCCGAGGAAGGCCTGGCTCTGCTGGCAGCCGAGCGGGGAGCCCTCAGGCTTCTCATCAGCCTGTCGAAGAAGAACTCGGTCTGGTACTCCAGCTCGATGAGGTGCTGCAGGAAGGGAGGCACCTGGGCTTTCTTCACACCCACGTAGACGGGGATCATCTTGGTGCCCTGGCTGTGGATGGTGTGACCCAGGTTCCACTGGGACACGCGCTGGCACCAGGGGTCGTCCAGGGCCTTGGCGGAGAGGAGGAGGATGGCCACCCGGCTGGCCTCGATGACCTCCGCGGCACTCTGGATGACGTGCACCCCGGCCACTTGGTCCTGGTGCTCGGCATAGCCCCGAAACCCCTCTTTCTTCAAGCGCTCCGAGATGCGGGAGGCGATGGGGTCGTCCTCGGGGCAGTACCAGATGGAGAAGTCGTAGGTGAAGCCGCGGCGGGCGGGCGCAGACGACATGCCACCCACGGGGGGGACAAGGACACCCAGTTCTCCGGGGAGTGAGCCCTTCCGCCCGCACCACCAGGAAGCTGTCGCTGCACCCGGAGGGCCCCTCCCCGGGGAAAGGTCGGGGTGCCCAGGTAGCTCCGGCACGTCTGGGGAGTTGCCAGCAAACCGTGGCCGTGCCGGCTCCCCAACAGGAATCAAAACCAAGGGGTTCTACCCTTTTGGGCGAGCCAAACCGCAACCGCGGTAGTCCAGGGGAGAGGAGACCCGTGTGCCGCCGCCACCGCCAGCCTCAGCAGGCTTTCTGCCTCATTTCCGCGATGCCGCGCTCCAGCGCCGCTCCCGCCTCCCGCAGCTCCTCCCGCCGCCGCCGCAGCCGCTCCCGGGAGCCCTGCAGCCGCTGGTTCATCTCCACGTAGGAGCGGCTCTGCCGGTACAGCCGCTCCCGCTCCTCGGCGGCCGCCTCCTGCCCGCTGGAGCCGGGGGGGCCTGGGGGGGGG